ACGCAATGTCAAGTTTCAGGATGGGGTAAAACTTCGCAGGTGAATAATATTTACAAATGTTCTTTTATTTACATACATGAATTTTATTTAGTATATACAGTGAATCTGGCTCTATTTGTAGGTATACTGGAAAAAATTGCACACAGGATAAATATGGTATCATGCTGTTCAGAAAAATATTTGAATCAAAATAAGAAAGTGTGCTATCTCTCAATTTGACAGAAACAATTTTTTAATTAATTAACTGGCAATTACCAATTTTTAAAACCCCGGGTTTTAGTACCGGCTACCAAGTTTGAGAAAAGCGAAGTGATCACGCACATTGCTTTTGTTATGGCTATTTCAATAATGAAATCGCATTTTGTATCGGTTACTTAGAAAAATCGAAGGTTTTATTACCGGTTCAAAAAAAAAATCAAAATTTAAATTTTTGGAGATTTCATCATGTAAATAATACGCTTGATAAAGAGAATATGTTAGGCCTAACAGATGAGTAAACTTCCCAAAAATGGCGAAGATATGTGTCTTTCCGTATGTCTTCTGGTATACCATGATTCTTTTTTAACCTGTGTGGAATTTTTCCGCCTTAAGTGCTGTATTGACTGTACTACGTATGTATATACATTGACTCAGACAAGTGTTCACGTGCTGATTTTTTTTTTTAATATTTATATCGCTTTTATAGTAATTTTTTTTTATGTTTCAAAGTTTCAAACCTTATACAAAGTTTAGGAAAATTCAACAAATTTTCATCAAAATTTTGAGCTTTTTAATCTGAATCTTTACAACATTTTGGGCATGCAGTTTTATAGCCCATACAATTTTAGCCTCATAAAGTGCAAGTTTCAAGCGACTGCAAAATCGCTTGCTCTTTACCATTTTTTTTTTGTTTTTGCTGACGGATTTTCGCACATTTTGCCATATAAGCAGTCACCAAAAAAATTCTTAAAAATCAACGGGATTTTTAACCCTTGAACTTGCACTTCATTAGACTAAAATTGTATGGGCTATAAAACTGCATACCCAGAAATATCCTAGAAATCAAAAAACTCGAAGTTTTGATGAAAATTTATTGAATTTTACTAAATTTTGTTTAATGTTTGAAACTGATTTTTATGGTTTTGGCTAAAGCTTCGACCATATTTGTATAAAAAATAACAACAAAAATTTGACTTGAAAAACATTGTGAATATTTAAAAAAAAAGGTCAACACATGAACACTTCTTTGAGCCACTGTATGTATATATAACTATGTATGTATGTATTTATTTGTATTCTCTCGCTTCATCCAGGGTGTCCTATCCACAAATCTGATGATGGCCAATGTGAGCATTATACAGCAAACTATTTGTAAGGTCTCCTACGGCAGTGGGCTTCTCCAAGGTATGCTGTGTGCCGGTGTCTTGCTAGGCGGCACGGATTCTTGTCAGGGTGATTCGGGTGGTCCGCTTATATGCAACAACGAACTGGTCGGTATTGTGTCTTGGGGCACTGGTTGCGCGCAACCTGGTTTTCCTGGTGTCTATACTAATGTTACCTACTACCGGAATTGGATAGAGAGCCGGAGTGCTGCAACGATAGTGGGGCTAAAAATCAGTATTTTAGCGTTAAGTGTTTCACTGGCGCTAAGTAATTGCTTCAAATAAAGTAAATTATTTATTTATTTACATAAATAAGTGAAATTTTTATTTTTATGATAGCTACACAAGCATGTACATTTTACATACATATGTATGTACATAAATAAATTTATTCTTTAAAATCTTAACAAATATAGCTTTTTACATTAAATAATGTACAAATGTAAACATACATTTGAGTGAATATTACAAGAATTGAGCATTTTTTTAAGTATGTATATTAAATAGGTATTTTCTTTTATTTAAATTTGTAACAACATTGGCACCACTTTGTTTTAAAAAGTCGCTTTCACAAACTCACACAGCTAACTACTAGGTATTAGTATATTAAACTATTATTGTACCAAACAGCAAATATGCATAGTTTAATTAGTTAAAAGAGTATGGCCGTACTTTTAACACCTGCAATTTCTATCTTGCTCCTGCTCCTCAGTCAGTTCAGTATCGCCATAACCAAGACGCACCGTACCCCCATTACCACCACCTCCACCACCGGGAAATCCTATATTTGGCATGCAACGTGTCTGTGTCATCAGTCGCGATAGTTCGGAATTAGTTGCTACATTCTCCATGCGTATCATTACGCGTTCCACCAGCAATTCCACAGCCTGTCGAATGTTGAAGCCAGTGCATGCGCTTGTTTCGATGTAGGGCAAACCATAGCGATCGGCAAGTGCTCGTACCTGTTCATGACTAACCGCACGCGCTGCCTCCAAATCGCATTTATTGCCACACAACACTACATCCGGATCCTCGGAGTAGGCATGCATGCGCAATTGCTCTAACCAATTGGTGATTTCAAGGAATGATTTCTCGTTGGTCATATCGAAGATGAGCAGAAAGCCCATGGCGTCGCGATAGAAAGCAGTGGTCAACGAACGAAAACGCTCCTGACCGGCAGTGTCCCAGAGTTGTAGATGAATGCGATGATTGCGGCCGCGATATGTGTAGATCTGTAAAGGAAATGAAAGTGTTAATATGGTAAGCATGGACTTTTGCAAAAAAGTAGATAATTAGTTTTGATTTTAGTTTTGAAAATTGCGAACGTAATAGTAACGTTAAGTAGTAAAAACCTATTGCGAAACTCGTTCACTCAGCCGGATGTTAATTAAAAAAACTGTTTAGTCGGAAACACCCTGCATTTAACGTGCCAAATATCAGTATCACCTTGCGCCGGCTTTATTTACTAATTTGACAGTTTAAAATTAAATTCGCGTGCAGCCATTTGCCTTCGGTATAAGTGCAATGCATTTTTTTATTTGCAAACTTCTCTCTTACCATTGCGAAATATTGAAAAATTTACTTAAAACCGGAATCAGTGCATGATAAAGTGAAAAAATATTAAGAGAAAAATTGTAAAGTGTTTGAAAATGTAGCAATTCCAAGCAACAGGTCGGACTGGTGTGGCTCGCTGTCTGCAGTTCTGCGAGCTCTTCCATTTAAGATAAAGTGAAGTTCTTAAAGTGAAATTGTAATTGATTGTTAAGTGATCTAATATAATATAATTATAATTAGTTTGGAACGAATTTTCGTCCTCCCTTGTCAAGCTTGGTTTGTAGATAATATACATGCATAGTTATAAAATAAAAATAACTTAAATGCGTAGAGAAGTATGTGTATTTATAAATGTAAAACTACTCACCAACCGCTTCTCCCGAAAATCAATACCCACTGTGGATATGAATTTTGAGTGAAATTGTCCATCTGTATATTGATATAAAAAACTTGTCTTGCCCACACCAGAATCACCGAGTGCGAGAAATTTCATCAAGAAATCATAATCGATATTTGCCATTGCCATTATATTTTTATTTTAGCCGAGTAATATTATTTGGCATAAAATTTAGTGATGATTTTTTTTATAATAACACTATTTAGCAATGAAGTGGCAAGTGTTTGTGCGCAAATTGATCCATAATATCTACTGAAGGCATGTTATTTTTTTATGCCGCACAATTTATTCTGAAAGAAAGAAAATAACCTTGATTATTGAATGAAGTAAAATGCGGACCAACAAATACAAAGCATGGATTCCTCCACAAAGGTAAGTAAAATGAATAATGCATGTTGTTAAGCTGCGTATAGCGTCCAATTACTGCTTTAGCGTACGCAAGAAACTATAAAATTTCTTATTTTACCTGTTTACATTCCTACTTGTATGTATGTAAATAAGGTCACATAATCTTGAATATTTAATACACAATCTTCAGAACTCATGTTCAGAACTATTTATAAGTAACTGCTGGATCCAGCTGTCAGAAAAATTAAAAAAAAAA